TGGGGGCTGAGAATACCATGCTCTGCTTGCAGCAGCTTTGAGGCCATAAATATTGATGTGGGGAGGGACTGTCCCCGGGCCAGGCTTGCCCTGCTCACCAAGGCCGCTGGAGGGGTAGGGTGGGCGCTCAGAGGACCAGCCCCGTGAGGTGGAATCAGCTTCCCTCCATGTTGGGGTCCCGGGTCCCGGGACAAGGGATACATCTCTACCTTCTGCAGGTAGACAGAGAAGGTAGAAGAGGAAGCTCGAGACAGTCCCTCTCGGCACCCTAGAGTAAACGCAGTCTGGGGAGCTGGGACGCTACTTGGTGGGGTGTGTTTGTTTCACCGACACAGCCCCGGATCTCACTTCTGGTGGTCACACACAGTGGAAGCCATTTTCCATGGTAGCCAGGAGCTGCTGGAATTATTCTGATTGGTTTGTTTTTGTTTGGGAGTAGCTGTCTGCAAGCCCCTTACCCTTGTACTAACTCTCTGACTCTAGAGGTGTTGCTGGAATGTTAGAGCAGAATGTCTGACTCAGCAGTCTCTGGCCTCAATCTCCTTGTCTGGAGAATGGGCTGAAGATGAGCCAAGAGCTGCCAGCTTTCCTCTAGCCTCCTTCCAGTACATTCTATAGAAGTTTTACGGTAGCTCACACCGAGAGAAAGAGCAGGAGAGACTCTCCATTGATGCCCTCAGGGAACCATAGGTTGTTCTAAGCCCTTTGCAGGAACCATCTCAATGACTACTCAGACCACTCCCACCCCCTGTCCCGAAATAGAGGGGCTCACAGCTGAGTGAGTCTGGAGATTAAACACCCTGATCGTAGGACTTGTGGCTGGCAGAGCCTCTGCAGGACCCGTGCTGCCTCTCTCAGTCAAGGCATGTGCCATCCCAACTCCATGCCCAGCACCCCAGAAGGGCCCAGCCTGAGCACAGAGCCAGAAGCCAGCCCTAGGCACCACCAGGAGTGGCCCAAAACAAACCCGATAAGACAGGATCCTACAACAGAAAGAGAGAAAGGAGGGTGAATGCTGTTGGAGCGAAGTCAGGGTGTGTTGAGAGATGCTTCTGGGCTTCTGAGTTCTCTGGCTGAGGGAACCTGGCCACAGGGCCTGGGGCCCCTGGGCACGGGAGCTGCTCACAGAAGGAAGTGGATCCTTTGCTCACAGATGCTAGCTCCGGTTGGCTTTTGATCAAGTAGCTAGAAATAGGACCGCCCTTGCCTTGGGGAGAGGAAGCTAAACACGGCCCGCCCAGGGCTGCTTTTTCCTTGCACTGATTCCGGGTGAGTGACCGGACCTGAGGGCTGGAGAGGTTCCACCATAGGCCTGGAGACAGAGCCCAGGACGGAGCCCTCAAGGACCCACTTCCTGGGTGGATGACAGCTCCTGGGTGCTACAGACCAGCAGGATGGAGCCCACCCTCAGTGCCCCAGGCCAGCAATGCCTGAGGCAGGCTTGCTGCATGCTGGAGGGGAAGTTCCCTCCGCTCCCTGGTGGGGCTGCTGACCTGGACAAAGCCCAGCCAGATGGGCCACAGCAGAGCCCCCTTGGAGCCCAGGCCACCACTTCCTGTTCCTGAGCCCACTATTAGTCAGAAGTTCACCACAGATCAGGCTGTGGACAGACACCTGCCACGGGCAGAGATGGGAGCGGGCAGGGTCAGAGCTGAGTCCACTGATGGAGCTGGGCCCTCAGGCTCCTGCCCCAACACGCTGGCCCCCCACCCCGTCTCCAGGCTCTCTCCCTCCCACCTCTGCCTGCTCTCAGTGCCCCTGATTGGCTCTGCTCCCTCCCTGCTCCCAAGAGAGAGATGATGCAAAAGGTTGAGACATTGCTCTGGCTGCCAGAGGCCCCGGTTCAGTTCGCAAACCTACTCCGGAGCAACCCCAAGCACTAAAGCAGGAGTATCCCCCGAGTACCGTGGGGTGTGACCCCCCCTCCAGATATCCTCTTCCTTCCTTCCTAATCCCAAACCTCAGTTTCTCCCTGATGTCTTCCCTGAACCCTCAGCCCCTGAAAGTCTGTGCTTCTGCTCCCCTCTGCTGTTTGTTCTTGAGTTTTGGCGTCAAACCTGGCCATGCTCAGGGGTTACTCCTGGCTCGACACTCAGGAATTACTCTTGGTGGTGCTCAGGGGACCCTATGGGATGCCAGGGATGGAACCTGGCTGTGCCTTACCCTCTGTACCATCATTTTGACCCCCTCTGCTGTTTTTCAGGACACGAAATCGGCTTTCCGAATCTGCTCTACTGGTGACTCCTTGGTGACCCAGTTAGGGCCTCAGTTTTCCCTTCTGTTAAAAAGGTGCAGGAATGAAGCTATCCCTCCATGATTTGAAAGCTGAATGTGGGTATGATGTGGTAGTTTATTCTGGGGGCTGAGAATGCTGAAAAGTTTTGCAATATAAACAGTAATAATGTTCCCACCACCCCCACAATGAAAACCCTACAAAATCTTAGGAAATCGAATATCTACTTTTGAAAAGTCGGAGTCCCCACATCCCTACACGAGAGGTTGTGGGCACGGTGGTGGCATGATGAGCATGGGAAAGTGCGGTGTGGCTGGCTTGGGGGATAAAGATGACAACAGATGACCACGTGCTGGCTTTCCTGTTTACATGAGCCAAGGAACCCCAGGCAGAAGCAAAACTCAAGAGATAAAGAGCTTCCTGTCTCTCTGTCTCTGTGTCTCTCTGTCTCTGTCTCTCTGTCTCTGTCTCTCTGTCTCTGTCTCTCTCTCTCTCTCACTCTCTCTCTCTCTGTGTCTCTCTCTCTCTCTCACTCTCTCTCTCTCTCTCTCTCTGTCTCTCTCTCTCTCTCTTAGATTTGAATCAAGCCCTGTTTGGTGCTTCTCTCCTCCAAGAACAGAGATTGCACTTATCTTGTGTTCCGTTGAATCCTGCAGGTGTGTATTGTGGGTGAGCCTGCCCCGCCCTTAGATAAATGCTCAAGTTGGTGGGGCAGGGGGTGGGAGGGGGGCTACCCTGCTCTGGGGAGCAGTGCCACTGCAGATGCCCTCTGCCTCGGGGAGCAAGGGAGGGAATCTGGGACCTTCCTGCCACCCACACACTCCACACTCTCTTCTGGACTGGGAAAGGAACAAGAAGAGTCTCTCTCTTTCTCTCTCTCTTTCTCTCTCTCTTTCTCTCTATCTATCTCTTCCCCACCCCCACGCTTGACGAATTATTTTTAAATTTTTTAATACTTATAATCCTTACAAATCTCATTTTTATCCTTTGTAACAGGCTCTTCTATTCCATTTTGCAGTGAAATAACAATGCCTATTTTAGGGGGTCAGATAGACTGATTCTCTTTAAGGCAGGGGCGTACATATCATTCTAAGTGTTCTAGGAGCCATATTCAAAGAAAATAGAATTAATTGGGGAAACTATATTTATTTTACTTAACCCACTAGACCAAAGATATTCTGTTAGCCTATCCTAAATATGAACAATGAGCTGTTTTCTAATGCATTTTGCTAACTAACCCTTAGAAACCCCATGTGTGCTTTGCACCATCACGGTTCCAGAGCTCTGGGTCCACATGGGGCTGGTGGCTCCTGCCTCAGCTAGCCCAGCTCCGGGGCCTCTCACACACAACTGAGGCGCCAAGTGCTGATGGCAGGCCCCTACATACCGAACCACAAAGGTGACTCCTTGTTCGGCCAAACCTTCAACTCGCAGGGTTTTGCCGATAAAGCAGGAGTTTCCTCCTCAGTCGAGTTTGAGATCCCATCCGAGTCTTGCGAAGCCGGACATTGACCTCTGAGCTGGCTCCTGTATAAGGGCCAGCGAGGAGGACCAGGTCCCTGCAGGCAGAGCCCCCAGCCAGGCGTTCCCAGACCCTCTCTTCTACCTGCTCGCCCAGGGAAAACGTCCGCCAGCTCTGGGCCAGCGCAATCTAAGAGCACATCTGCCTCTCGGGAGCGATGCCCATGGGGATGAAGTTCTCACTTTCCCCCCTGTGAGTCAGACCTGGATGCGGTCAGCCAGTGGGAACCGTCTCTTCCGCACTTTCTTTCTTCGATATTTATTGATATTTATCAGACAGCGGTTGCGTTGCTGCAGGTCCTGTGCTAGGCGCCAGGGTTTCGAAAGAGAGCACGAACCCTGCTTTTGGAGAGCCAGGCCCAGTCGGGGAGCACACATGAAAGCTTGTGTAAGACCCAGAGAGCTTCACTCTTTCAGGAAATCAATGCAATGGTGACTGGAAACTCCACACTGAGAGCTTCCTGCCCATCCCTGCCATGGTGGCCGAGTGACAAGCTAGGACAGAGGCTGTGTTGCAGGGGGTGGTGAGGCCTGTGGTAGGGACAGCCGTCGTGGTGTTAGAGGCGGTGATCATGGCTGGGGTCACCCTGAGCGCCACGAGGGGCTGGTGATTTTGGAGGTGGGGTGGCAGTGAAGAATTGCACTGGGGTTGGCAACATGACAGACCACGCGAATAGGAAGGGCTGTGTCAGAGCTGTAGAGACAGCACAGCGGCCAGGACGCATACCTCAACGTGGCCAACCTGGACTCAATTCCGGGCACCCCATATGGTCACCGGAGCCCTGTCCGGGGTCAGCCCTGAGCACTTCTGGGTGTGGCTCCAGAGTAGAAAAGAAAACAAACAGAAAAGCACAGTATCAGTCTTTTTATTCATATCATATCCGGGAGGTGGAGGGAGTGCTCTCTCGGGAGAAACAATGATGATGGTGGTTGTAGGGTTCATTTCCAGGAGAACTGGGGGTGATTATTAGAATGTGAAGAATGTCAAAAGTTGAATCAGAGGAATTCTGTTCAGTCTTTGTAAATACTGGCTTAAGTATCTCAGAACAAGCATCAGAACAAGTATCTAAGTATCTGGAACACTGTAGGTGGGGGGTTGGGGCTGGAGGGATAATGGCTCCTGATGGGGGCCCTGCCCCTCGCCCAGAACCTTCCTTTCCCACGGTCCTTAACCCCTGCCCACAAACAACAGGGCAGTGCAGAGTGCCTTTGTCTGGCTGACAGCGTCGGTTCCGTGTTTCTCCAGGATGAGGACCTTCCCCGTGAGCAGAGCCCTGGAGAGGTCCCAGAGAAGCGAGAGGGCTTAGCCCAGATGGCGCCTGACCTGACTGTGGTCCAGTTCATCAAAGGTCGGTGAGCGCGGCGGGGCTATGGGACACAGGAGGCCAGGCCAGCCCCAAGCCTTTCCTGCCTTCTCCATCCTTCTTCCCAGCTGATGGCCTCTTGGTTCATTCCCCAGCATATTTGCTCCCACGATGCTCTATGTCTGCCACATCATTTTTTATTGCGATCGATCCCAATCTCCCTCATCCTGGTAGGCCCAGCTCAGGGACTCTCTCTCCTTCCTCTTCACTCTCCGGCCTCTCCTCTACCCCAACCCTCAGACTGCCCAGCCCTTGTCCAGCCCTTCTCGGAAGCAGCGAGTTCCCACAGGTCAGGGCCTGTGCTGACTCCGCTAGGCCCTTCTCCTTGCCCCAAACAGGAGGCTGCAGTAAATATTTACTCCATCTCTAGGCTGCGGCCTGGGTGAAGGGCTCTTTGGAGCCAAACCCAACAGCCTCAGCTCGGCTGTGGGTCCTGGCCCTCCTCTGGGCCTTTATTTTCCCTTTTGCATAGTGAGGGCTGGACCCAAGGGTGTAAGATTCGTCTCCTGGGGCCCACGGCGGAGAGGGCGTTTGCCTTGCGCTCTCTGACCTCAGGTGACCCCAGCTGCTGGAACAGCCCTATGTGCTGTGCTGCTCCGGAGGAGACTTTATTCATCACTGCTTGGGCTCCTGCCCAGAGGGAACCTGGGGCAGCTGCTCCGATTGGAACCTGGGGTGGGGTGCGGGGGCCAGATTGCCTCTGGTGATTGCAGCTTCTACCTGAGTCTGGAGCACACCTGGGCAGAGCTGGAGACAGTCCCTCACACTTCCTGCCCAACTCCAGAGGGACCAGTCTGACCTTGAGTCTTGAGGCTTGGCCCTAAGGCCTCTGGAACGCTGTGTGTGTGTGTGTGTGTGTGTGTGTGTGTGTGTGTGTGTGTGTGTGTGTATGTTGGGGGAGAGAAGGCACGGGCAGAGGGAGGGAGGAGAAGTCATGGGTTGTCAGCTGGAGGAGGAGGCCTGGGGGAAGCCAGTCTGATGAGGGAGACACAACCCCTGAGCTGGGGGAGGTCCCTGTCTGATGGGGGAGACAGCCGCTGAGTGGAGGAATCCCAGAGGTTCCCAGAGGAGGGTCTTCTGAGGAAGGAGACAGACTGAGGGGGCGCTAGGGGGGCACTGTATTCAGCTATGGGCAGACTCGCTTTGCCCTGGAAATCCCCCTGGCATGCCATTCAGTAACCCCCTTTCTCTGTCCCAGGGTGAGACTGCCCTGCTAAAGACAGCACAGTTCCAAGACTAGCACAGGAGAAGGGCGTGAAGATGGGATGAGGGGACCCTCAGGCATCGGGCACAGGACCAAGGGGTGGTGGGTGCAGAAAGTGAGAACAGAAAGGAGCCGGGGAGTCAGAGGCTCCAGTCCTTGCCCTGGCCTTGGATGAGCTCCCACCTCTGCCTGGACCCTACAAAGAGGCACCTGGACAGCCTGGTGCAACCCAGGCCTCTCCTGGCCAGGGTCCTGGTAGCGGGAGGGCAACCAGCACCGCTCCCTGTGGTTCACAGAACCCAGGCACATGTGTGCCCACCTCACACCCCGCCCAAAGCATCCACTTGTGGCAAGTAACCAGAGCCAGGAAGCCGACTTGGGCCTGAGGAGGGGAAGTTCCACCCCACCCCTGCCTGCAGTGTTTGTCTTTATCTTCTGGCTCCCATGGAAACAGCTGCTGGTCTTAGGAAATCCTTGGGCTTGGCAACACGTTGGCCACAGCATCTCCCCTGACGGAGTGGGAACACAGGGACGTCCCCACTGAGTCATAGGACCCCTTGGCCAGGCCACCACCACCCCCAGCATGAAAGTGATCCTCATCCTTTGCTGTTCCGAAGGCCCTGCCCCACGCCCCTCTCCCTTCGCCTCCTGCTGCTCCTCCTCTTACTAATACAGGGGATGGGGGGGGGGGGGCGCGCACATGGCAGAGCTGACGCATCTAGGAGGTCTCTGGTCGCCCTGGTGCTGATGGCCCAGAGCCCCAAACTGGCACCTACTCTCCATTACATGCCCTTCAGAGGAGCCAACTCTAATGAGGAAATGTCTAAACAAGGCAGCTAGCAGGAGGCGGGGGAGTGGGGGGACCCTGCCCTCAACCCCAGGACGGTTAACTTCTCTCCCTCTCTCCAGGCTTTTGGCCCTGCCAGGAATTCCTTCTCTGTGTTCCCGTTCTCCAGGCCCTTCCATTCTTTCACCCTGTCCCCCCAAGGCCCCCTATGAAGACCCTCAGCATCCGGCCTGCTCAGGCTTCACCTACCCTGGAGGTCTTAGTTTTTTTGTTTTAAAACCCAGTGCTAGTGGGGAGAGGGAGGGCAGGCAGGGCTGGGACCACATTCAGGGCCTCACACACACTAGGTGGATGTTCTGCTCCTCGAGCTGTCTCACAGACCCTCTCTGGAGGTCTTAGAGTCTCAAAGTTTCATCTTTGCTTCATTTAGTTGGTCTGGCCATTCCTTCCTTCCTTCCTTCCTTCCTTCCTTTACTCATTCTCTGCTGTGTGGCTCAGATACTCTAGCTACCGAAAGTATCCTGGCCACACGGCAGAGCCTGGCAAGCTCCCGTGGCTGGTGTATTCGATATGCCAAAAACAGTAACAAGAAGTCTCACAATGGCGACGTTACTGGTGCCCGCTCGAGCAAATCGATGAACAATGGGAGGACAGTGCTACAGGACTACAGGGCTACTCATTCTATGCAGTGCTGGTTTTCTGTCCACTGTAGCCCAGATTCTAGAAATTCAGCAATGAGCACAATAGACAAAAATTCCTGTCTTAAAGCAGTTCTACTCTCATGGGGGAGGGGGGGGAGGCAAAGGACAAACAGACAACAAAAGTCCAGTGTGCAGTCTTTTGGGTAAAGTACAATAGTGAAACATAAAGCAGGGTTAGGGAGGAGAGGCAGGAGTGCAGGACCATGCTGGGGAACGAAGGAACGCCACAAGATGGGAAAATGCTGTGGAGGGATGGGATGAAAAGGACTAGAGGACGGGCCTCTTCTTCATGGGCTGCTCCACCCACCGGATCGCTAGCACAGCGGGGAGGGTGCTTGCCTGGCACACAGCTGACCCGGGTTCGATCCCTAGACCCCATATGGTCCCCCAAGCCCTGCCAGGAGTGATCCCTGAGTGCAGAGCCAGGAGTAACCTCCCAGCATCGTTGAGTGTGGCCCCAAAGAACAGAGGCTAGAGGAGAAAACTTGGATTGAATAAGGAGAACTAAAGAAATGAAATGAGATGGGAGGCGATAAAAACACACACACACACACACACACACACACAACACAATGAAATGCAAGCTAAGGCAAGGGAAGGAAGCAGAAGAATTTCAGAAATGAATTGGCACTGAATGAAAAGGAATCAAACGTCACGGGACACGGGAAATGTCATGGAAAGGGATAGAATTAGGTGCCGGGCAGGGCGGACAGAGAGATAGTACAGTGGATCGGGTGCTTTCCTGGCACGTGGGACACCCAGGTTTGATCCCCAATACCCCCACTGGATTGCCTGAGCACCACCACGAGTGATCTGAGCACAGAGCCAGGAGTCAGCCTTGAGCACAGCCCCGCAAAGTAGAATTAGATGCAATAAATGGGCAAGGACGGAATTCAGCAGTTCAGGGGAACAGCACAGTCGGGGGACAAGAAACAGAGGGGTTGACTGGCACCCCCCAATTCCGTTTGCCCCAACAGTCTTCCCCAGGGTGCTGCTGCGGACCCTGCGTCACCCCATCTTCCTGCTGGTGGTGCTGTCTCAGGTGTGCATGTCCTGCACGGTGGCGGGCATGGCCACCTTCCTGCCCAAGTTCCTGGAGCGCCAGTTCTCCATCACCGCGTCCTACGCCAACATGCTCATCGGCTGCCTCTCCATCCCCTCGGCCATCCTGGGCGTCGTGGTGGGCGGAGTCCTGGTCAAGCGTCTGCGCCTGGGCCCCAGGCACAGCACCGTCCTGTGCCTACTGGGGGCGCTGTTCTGCCTGCTTTTCAGCCTGCCCCTCTTCTTCATGGGCTGCTCCACCCACCGGATCGCGGACGTCACCGACAGGCTGGGGTGAGTGTGTGGACACCCAGGGCCCCTTGTGCAGGAGGGTGGAGGGGGGTCCGGTGGCCTTGGACAGGGACCTGCTGGGCTCAGATGGGGACTGTTCCCTCCTGCAGAGACAGTGTCAGACCAATGCCCCCGTCCCCAAAAGCCTCCCACCTAAGGGAGGAAGAGTCTCCCCTTTGCTCCTGGCCCCACCTCCCGCCTCCCCATCCTGATCATTCTCTTCCGTGGGGGCACAGGACCTTTACCCAGAGACATCCCCATGCCCAGGGACTCTTAGCTTCCTCTCTGGTCTCCACCCTGCAGCCTGACCCTTGGGTTCCTAATCAGTTTGCCCAATCCTTAAGCCAGGTCATACTCAGAGCCCCAGGGGCCAACTCTGTGCCTCTCCTTTTTGTTTGTTTTGTTTTGTGTTTGGATCACACCCAGAGATGCTCAGGGATTATTCCTGGCTCTGCACTCAGGAATCACTCCGGTTGGTGCTCAGGGGACCCTATGGGGTGCCGGGGATTGAACCTGGGTCCGCCAAGTGCAAGGCAAATGCCCTCCCCATTCTACTGTTGCTCCGGCCCCTCTCTGCCTCTCTTTGGGGGGGAGGGGGCCTGGCTGAACCTTGTTCTGGTCCGTGAGACTAGAGTTCTCTACTGACCACATCCCAGGCAGGACTCAGTGAGCCAAGGAATGAGACAGCCCCGGGAGATCATGAGATTCCCCAGACAGCAATGACAGACTGAGAATCTGAGACCCAGAGCCAGAAGGAAGAGGTGTGGGGGGAGGGCCCAGCGAGAGGCTTCCCTGGCCACACTCAGAGCTCAAATTTTCTGATGAAAGGGAGCACCCCAGGGGCCAGGAGATAGTGCAGCAGGTACGGCTGTTGTTTGTATGCAGCAGATCCAGGTTTGATGCCTGGTACCTCACATGGATTCCAAGCACCACCAGGAGCACAACACATGAGCGCAGAGCCAGAAGTGAGCCCTGAGCACCACTGGATGTGGTCCCCAAACAAACAAACAAACAAAAAAATACGGAGCAATCTGGTTCACCCAGAAATGGTTCTTTTCTTCCAGAACTAAGTCCTGAGAGGAATTTCACTTATGCTCCCTAAGAAGGGCCATGGAGGAGCAGAGGGATCTGCACAGCAGATGGAGGCCCCTAGCCTTGGGTGGGGCTCCCAGCTCTGGCCCTGTGCCCCGCACACTCCTCTGGGCACTGAGCACCATGCAGGGAGCAGAGGCCTCTGCTCCTGTTCTCAGGCGGGGAGCCCCACGGGGTGGAAGCAGACCATCCCGACAGGCCTTTCTCTCCGCAGGGCCCCTCCAGGGCTGGAGCTATATCCAAGCTGCAAGGAGGTCTGCGCCTGCCCCTCAGGGGACTTTAACCCAACCTGTGATACCAGCACACGCGTGGAGTACCTCACACCGTGCCACGCAGGCTGCACAGCCCGGGTCACAAAGGTCGACCCGGACAAAGACCAGGTGGGTGTGAGGCCAGGGCAGTCCAGGGCCTGCCACACCCGCCTCTGCATCCTCCCACCTCCCCTCACAGTGCTCTCTCACTTTCACTGTCTCATCCCCCGTTCACTTTCTCTTTTCTCTTCCTCACTTTCGCTTATTTTCTCTCTCGCTTTCTCATTTTCTCCCTCCCTTTCTCTATCATTTTGTCTCACTTTCTCATTTTCTCCCTCACTTTCTCTATCATTTTCTCTCTTTCTCTCTTACTTTCTCTATCATTCTCTCACTTTCGCTGTTTTCTCTCATTTTCTCTACCACATCTCACTTTTTCTCACTCTTACTTTCTCATTTTCCTCTCACTTTCAATTTTTTCTTCCACTTTTTCTTATTTATTTTCTCTCACTCATTCCTCTTCCTCTCCCGCCTCTCACTCTCTCCCTTGCTGGCAGGTGTAGGGCGTTGTTCTCTCAGTATGCCTTTCTCTCTGGCCTGGGTACAGCCTCATGCCAGGGAGCCTAGAGGAACCTGAGCTGGGCAAAGGCAGAGAAACTATCTCAGGAATTGCAGGGGTGCTGACGGGCAGGAGCAGCAGTCCCCCTGCATACACAGAAGGATGGACCAACACAGCCTGCCCGGGAGGGCCCCCAGGGCATCTGTGCTGGGTCTGCCAGGGAAACAGCCAGAATTTTCCAGGGGAGATGCCTGCCAGGAAAGGGCTTTCCAGGAAGAGAGGCAGCAGAAGCAGGGCCTGGAGGCCAGCACATGTGCACGGAACACACGGGCACATGTGGGCACATAACATGCACTTGTGGGCACAGATGCACTCACACGTGTGAACACATGCCAGCACACAACATATGCGCGCATGGGCACAGATGCATTCAACACATGTGGGTACACGTACACATGCATGCACATGTGGGCACAGAGGCATGAACACTCATAAACACAAGGGGACACACAGAGACACACGCAGACACCCACATGAAACATGTGCACAATCATGAACACACAGGCACACATGTGGGTGCACATGTAGATACACGTGTGAAACGCACTGACACAAGGGCACACATGTGAGTGCAGACATGGGCACAGTCACATATACTCACACATGGTATCTTAGGAAGCTGCAGAGAACTTGCTGGAGCAGAGCACGAGGGTTCCTGGAGGAGGAACGGTGAGGTCAGAAGGGACCGGACTGAGTGCGGGGCCAAGCGTGGGGAGCCAGGGGTGGGTTTCAGCTGCAGAGTGATGGGGTCACATCTGTGTGTGATCACAGTGGAGGTGCTCTGTGGCCGGAGTGAGCAGGCCAGGAGATCAGGTGGCCTGGGGGGCAGCAGTGGTTGCATTCTGCCCAAAGCCAGGCAGCAGCCTTCAAGCACCCCCATGTGGAAAAGACCCTCTTTGCAGGGTGCTAAGAACTCAGAGCTACGGGCTCTTCTCTCAGTGGTTCTGCCTGTGGGGTGGAGAGAGGCTGGAACCAGCAGGGTATCTGCTGTGAGCTCTGGAAGGGCACTGGAACCCATGGGCTTCTCCACACCCTCCTCAGTTCCCAGAATCGCTCAGGATGGCCCTCACCTCCCTCAGGCCCAGAGGAAGTGGGATGGGCGGTGGTTTGGTCTCAGGCAGGTTGTCCAGACGCCCTCCCCAGAGCTTCCCCCTGCAGAGACCCCACATTCACACAGGCTGCAATCAGCAGGAGAGCAGGGGGCCCCCGGGCTGGTACCTGAAAAGAAGCTGGGGCAGGCACCTCCCAGGCTGTGGAGCTATTTGTTTGGGACCCTCAGTCCCTGCCCCCTGCATGTTCCCCTGCTTTGACCCATCCTCCTCCCTCCCCTTCCTGCCTCCAGATGTGTCTTTCCTGGGGCCTCTTCACCTGCTCCCCCATCTCCTCTGCCTTCGTGCAAAGGCTGGAGTCACTCCATCCTGTCTGTCAGTCTGTCTCTCATGCATAGAGCTTTACAAGTCTTCCAGCATCCTCCTGGGCACACCTGTCTCCAGCATCCTCCTGGGCACACCTGAAGTTCTTGGGGCACGCTGGCCAAAAGAAGTTCTACCTACGGGAGAAATGGAAAGTTTGAGTTTCCGGGCCAGTTGGCTCCAGGGGGTGTGGGGGAACACAGGCTGTCCAGACCATTCTGGTAGGGTCCTTGCTGGAGGTTTCCTGCCACCAGCCCACCCCAGACAGATGTCTACTTGCAGCCTGGAATAGGGTCAGCCTTTTCTCATATTTCAGTCCTTTAAGGGGTCCTAGATTTCTTGGAGCTCCGTTTGCTGATATGAAGGAAAGCCAGACCTCGCCCTCTGGCCCCCAACACCCAGAAGACTAGGCCCACCTGCATGACTGCAGCTCTGCAGAGTCTGTGCCTGGGTCAGAACTCCTTCCCGGGCCCCGCCGGCCTCTCTGGTCCCCACCGCACTGGCCGGTGAATGCAGCAGCCAACCTGTGGAAGCTTCCAGAATAGGCTTTCAATCCCTTCCCACACTCGGGTCAGCTGGTCGGCAGGGCGCCTCTGGGAGCTGCATTCCAGGTTCCTGTGTTGTTTCCCAAGCGCCTCAGTATCGGCCAGCCCCCACTAAGAGCCCCCCCCCCCCCCGCCCTTGTGCTCCCTGCTGCAGGCGGAGGGAAAGGTTTGTTGGATTCCTGGGGGCCAGAGATTTTAAGCTTGACCCTTCCTCCACATCTTCCCATTTCCCTGGGCAGACTCCTGTCCACTCTCCAAGCCTGGTCCAGGAACCCTCTTTGGTGATGCTTCCCTCCTTCCGCTTTCTTCCCAGTGTCACCAAGTTTTTGGTGCTGTCTACACTCTGTCCAGTGCCACAGCTGTCCTTGACATCCGTGACACACAGAGCCAGGGCCAGGGAGCTCCTGCCCTGCATACACCTGCATGTGGGAGCCTGGGGTTGAGTCTCAAGGGGGGGAGGAGGGGAGAGAGATGGGGGGGGAGAGAGAGAGAGGAAAGAGAGGGTTCCCTATACATTTCCTCCTCAAAGCACTCTTTGTTCCTTTGATTCCTTACAAGGATGATCAGAAATTTGGAACACTGCTGTCAGTAGACAAAAGTGTATGTGGTGCATGTGGTTTGGATGGTGTATATGTATGCATATGCATGTGTGCGAATTTGTGTGCATGTGCGCGAAAATGTGTATTATGTGTGTATATGTGTGGGTGTATGTATACCTGTGTGTCTGTATGTATTTGAGTATATGTGTGAGTGTGTGTATGTGTGCGCCCATGTGTGAGAATTTGTGTATGTGTGTATTTGTCTGCGAGAGTTTGTATACATGTGTAGGTGTGAGAGTGAATAGGAGTGAGAGTGTGTATGTGTGTATGTGTGTATGTATGACTTTGTGTTTGTGTTTGTATATATCTGTGAGTGTGTGATTTTTGTGAAGTGTGTGCATGTACGTGTGTGCGCGTGTATGTGTGAGTGTAATTCACATACACCTGTGTATGTGAATTGTATATGTGTGAGACTGTATATGAGTGCAAATGTGTGCATGTGTGTATGTGATTGTGTGTGAATGTGTGTATGTGTGTGATTTGTGTATGTTTGTATATGTGTGATTGTGTATGTGTGTGATTGTGTATGTTTGTATATGTTGAGTGTTTACGTGAGTGTGCATGCCTAAGCAGTGTAAATGTGTGCATGTGTATGTGTGTGTGATTTGTGTGTTTGTATAGGTGTGGTTGTGTGTGTGTGAATATATATATGTGTGTGCAATAGTGTATGTTTGTATGTGTGTGAGTATGTGTGATTTGTGTTTGTATAGGTGTGGTTGAGTCTGTGTGTGTGTGAGTGTGTGTTGAGGGCGGGTCCCCTCAGAGCCTCTCTCCCTTCTTTCTTCACTTTCCTCCCATCCCAACAGGCTCTACCCTGCGTGTCCCCCACCTGCAGGACTCCCTGAGCCGCCCTGCTCAGCCCCTGCCCCCCGCTGCTCTGCACCCCAGGCCTCCGCAACTGATGTCATTCTCCCTCTGCGTCCAGGTCTACTACACCAACTGCAGCTGCGTGGCTGGAGGCGGCCACGTGCTGGCGGGCTCCTGCGACTCGGCCTGTGGCCACCTGCTGCTGCCCTACATGCTCCTGACCAGCGTGGCCGCAGCGCTGGCCAGCCTCACTCACACCCCATCCTTCATGCTCATTCTCAGGTGAATGCAGGGGCTGGCTGGCGGGTCTCAAAGGGAGGAGAAGCCAGAGAAAGGGTGACCTGGGTATCCTGGGTGCCATAGGCCCTTCTGGCATGATCCAGGGCAGGACACTTCTCCTGTGTTAGAGCAGCCAAGGTCAGGGGCAGTGGTGCTTGGGTTGGTCCTGGCTGGACCTTCCTAGGACGGGGAGGAAGAAGTGGTCTCCATCCACCCCACTGCCCTAGTTAGGGAAGCAGGAAGAGGGCCCAGGAAGTGCATGCAGAAGCCAGCCTCACCAGGTGGGTGTGGCCCGTGATTCAGAGTGTCCCTCAGCCCAGGCTGAGTGTTGTCTTCTGCTCTGAGAGCTTCTGCCTTTGTCCCCAGGAGAGCCACGGTGCCTGACCAATGACTGTCACCTGAGGATGCTCAAGCCAGTGTCTGGGTTGGGGCATGGAGGGGAGCCTAGAGGAGGATGGCTCCAAGCTTTTGCTGTGCTGGTTATTAATGTTCACATTTCTATCAACAATTTTATGTATTTGCTTATTGCATGATTATGTGATTATTCCCTATCCACTTTCTAAAAAACCCAGAAGGGCAGTAGAGCCCCACGCTAATGTCAGAGAGAGACGGCAGCATCCCAGAGGCCGACCACAGGGGTGAGGGGGTGCTGGCCCACAGAAAAGGGGGTGAGGGGGCAGCTGGCCCGTGGGCAACATGGATAGGGGTGAATGGACGCAAGAATGCCTGAGTTCAGGATTGGACACCCCACAGCTCTGCCACCTTGGCCAGTCTCCCTTCATGAAGTGGGGTGTATTACATGCCCATCTCGTGGGGGGCAGGAAGCAGGACCGGACCATCCACGAGTGACCCAGAAATGCCCAACGCCACTGCTAGCAGGGGGGAGTCACTGACTAAGGTGCAAGCCCCCCACTCACTGTGACACTGCAGTGGGTGGGGGCTGTGGAGGAGAGGCCCGGGGTGCAGAGAGGGAGAAGGGAGGTGTCCAGGGCCTTCCTGGGCTGAGCGCAGAGTCTCCTGGTCACAGGTGTGCTGGGACAGGGGTGCCGGCTGGGCAGGTTGTAGAGAGTGGGGGTAGGGTCTGACCCCTAGACTTTCAGACTAGGAGACTCACTGAGCAATGGGGGACAGGGGGTCTGGAGCCCTGAAGGTGGCGACCCCATCCTCAAGTGACCATTCCTCTTGCTAGGGGCGTGAAGAAGGAAGACAAGTCCCTGGCCGTGGGGATCCAGTTCATGCTCCTGAGAGTTCTGGGTAAAGAACCTGTTGATCCGGGGTTCCGGGGAGTGCAGGGTCCTGATGGGGCACAGGGCTAAGCACAGGGCAGCAGGCCAGGCTGGGTGTCTGGAGGTGGGCATGGGATCAGTGGCTTTTAGGGCAGGGGTGTTTGGGGGGTCCGGGCCCCGTCTCAGTGCCTCCTCCTCCAGCCTGGATGCCCAGCCCCGTGATCCACGGCAGCGCCATCGACACCACCTGTGTGCACTGGGCCCAGAGCTGTGGCCGCGGCGCTGTCTGCCGCTACTATGACCTGGACCTGCTCCGGAACCGGTGAGGATGAGGGGGCAGCTGGGCGGGGCGGGGGGAGGAGAGGTGCAGGAATTCTCAGGGAGGAAGAAAGCCAAGAGCTGGCCACCCCCACCCAAATCCCAGCTCCTGGTCACTGTCTGCAAGAGGTGTGTTTGCAGGGCTGAGCCTGGAGGGAGCAGGAATGGCCTAGCTCAGAGGGAGGGAGGGAAGGAGGGAGGGAGGAAGGAAGGAAGGAAGGAAGGAAGGAAGGAAGGAAGGAAGGAAAGAAGGAAGGAAGGGAGGGAGGGAGGGAAGGAAGGAAGGAAGCTGGGGTGCAGCGGCGAGAAGGCACCCCACTTTGCATGGTATGACCTGCCTTTCCTGGGACTCGGTCTCCCCTTCTGCTCAGCTGGGAGCTCAAAGAAATGTGATGCTGTGGATGTGGATGAGGACGGGCTCCCCATATCCACAGCTGCTCCTGGGGTGGGTGAGTGGGCGCTGGCCAGCCAGAGTCCAGAGCAGAGGGGTCTCCCTCTGGGGTTTGGGGTCTTCCAGAGAGAGAAGGTCAATCCAGGGCTTTGGCCGGCAGGGCAGAGGGAAGCCCCTTCGTGATAATCAGCCTTGAGAGCAGCCAGCTGGCGTGGGCCCCCTGTTCTTGGAGGCAGGCAGGAGGGAACCGGGGTTTTGCTCCCCAGGCCCTGCGCAGAGTCCCTGGGCTCGACTCCAGGGCTCCCCCGAACTCCCACGGCCCTGTGGCTGGAGGCCTGGGTGCCTCTGACGGGTCAGTGAGTGGCCACGGCCAGGCCTGCTCCCCCCCCCTCACCCCGCACCAGTGCAGACGGGCCGGGGCCTCCCTCCCACCATCCCGTCACTCTCCAGGTTCATCGGCCTCCAGTTCTTCTTCAAGTCGGGCTGCCTGATCTGCTTCGTCCTGATCTGGGCCATCCTCCGGCAGCAGGACCAGAAGGAGGACGCCCCGGAGAACAGCCCCACCCCAGCCCTGCTGCAGCAGGCGTCGGAAACGAAGAAGAAGACACAAGAGTCCCGGGTGTGAATGGAACCCAGGGCAGCAGCTACCTGCAGGACGGCCTCTGTCTGAGCCCTTGGCAGTGGAGGCCTGTGCTCCCATTCTCAGCCCTCCACTGACTTGCTGGGTGACTTCGGACAAGTCACTGACCCTCTCTGGGCCTTTGCTAGGAAACTCAAGCCAAATTGCCATGGCGGCTGCTTCTGAAACAAGAGTTTCTCCCCGCCGCACAGGCGACCGGGGAATCAGGTCTGCCTAAAGCTGGAGAAGTGGACATAGGAGTGGACTGCCCTGCCCAGCCCTGATGTCAGTCGCCTCCTCAGTGCGGCAGAAATGGGCTTGCCTGCTTTAGCTTGAGTCCACCGGCGGCGTATGTCCACCTGGCGGACTCAGGTCCCCTCCCCTGCGACGCCTCCCAGAGGAGCCGGGGCCACAGGTCCTCAGTCCAGAACCAGCCACTTGGCGCCCCCTGGAGGTGGGGGTGTGCACGGTTCTGAGAGGTGGCAGGTGAGGAGGAAGGCGGGTCTCTCCCTACCCCCAGCAGAGGGGTGTGACCAATCCCACCCTTCTGTGGCCACGTCAGGGTCTCCGCCCCAGGCTCTGGTGAGGAGGGAAACTGGGCCCCCACGGGGGCTTTTCCTACCATTGAGGACCAAATGTGGGTGCAAACATTAGCCAGGATCATCACGGTCAAGTTCTCACAGTAGGGCCAAGGAGAGCACAGCAGGCTTCAACCTGCCTTCAACCCCCAGCACCATGGAGGGCCTTGAGCCCCACCAAGAGCATCCTGAGTGCAAGCCAGGTGAAGTCCTGAGCATTGCTAGGTGTGGCCCCAAGCCCAAGATATACACTCAAGAGATCTCACACGGAGCGGGGACCAGAGCCAGAGGACAGCGGGTTGAGTGTTTGCCTTGCTCACAGCCGACCTGGGCTGGCTTCCCGGCCTCCCATATGGTCCCCCGAGCACCACCAGGAGTGATCCCTGAGTGCAGAGCCAGGAGTTACCCCTGAGCATCACCGGGTGTGACCCCACACCAAAAATACATAAAGTAAATAAAAGCTCTCCTATGAGTGACGAGGCCCATTCACATCACAGTGACTTCTGTTCCTCGAACCCCGATTTCACCATTCCCTCCTCCCGGCGGCTGGGGGCTGAGTCTCCAGGAAGCGTGGCTCCATGTCTCTTGAGCTTGGGGATCTCCAGGATGCCTGTGGGTGAGGCTGTGTCCCCTGGGAGACCTGGGAGGCTGGGGGTAGCAGTTCCAGCTCTGGGCGCTGAGCAGATGGGCAGGGCTCTTGGCTCTGAACCCTCTCGGTTCTTTTCCTGCATCAGACTTGGTCTTGTTCTGTAGCCAGTCTTAGCCGATGTGGTTCCTTCCCTGCAAGGAGGGACCTGCTTCTAGACTGTTCTATGGCTACCATGTATCACACCTGGCTGGGGTCCTCCAGTCAAGAGGCAGGACACAGGCCTGAGCAGGGAACTTGGGGAGAAACTGGTGGGATGGGGGCTGGGGTCCACATGACTCGGGCTCCAAGAAGACTTTGAGGCTCTCACATGAAAGATGAGGGCAGTACAGAAGTTCTCGTTCCTATTTTTATTCTCTCGCTCGATGCGATGCCTGATAATGTTGAACAAATATCTGAGCCCGTATTTATCAATGACAAGAATTTCAAACTCCTCTCCAACGAGATGAGGCTGCTTGTAAATTTATAATTCTTTCTCCCTCCCAGACTTTGCAGAAATATGCTGGAGTTATCGATATAGCTTATTATTAAATTTATTCTTGCATAATGTCTCCTCAATTGGAAAAATCCTTTCTTATAAACTGCATTAGGGCTTGTAGCAACCACATTATTTCCAGCTATTTAGATTCAAGTTTTACTGGATTCGTCGCTCACCATTATTTTCTGGCCGTGACATCTAGCCCCTTCTCTAGATTCTGGTCTAATTTTCATCTGGCTGGACCACTTCCTTTCAAAATAGCCTGGGGGCTGGCGCGAAGTCATGGGTTTACTCAATCCTCACCTGTCCAAATTGTCAATCTCACTTTACAGGTGAGAAAACAGTCCTGAAATGACAACGGACTTGCCCAAAAGCACAATGAGAAGAAGAACCTTCTTAGCTGATGTGGTTCCTTCCTGCAAGGAGGGACCTGCTTCTGCCCCTGGCTCCACACTCCAGACAAAGAGCAGAGTTAAAATCAGTAGCAGGGCCTGGTTTTAAGCAGGGTGAGGTCGAAATTTTGTGGGAAATTAAAATTATGTCATTTGCAGGGCCCTCAGAGAACACAGGACCGGAAGTTAGCTCAGCATGCTGGAGCATGTGTCTGGCAGCCACCAGGCCCCGAGCTCGATCCCCTGCACTCCCTGGACCCCCACACGCACACTCGAGCATCGCCAGGTATAGCCCGGGTGTCCCCCAGCCTTGCACATCAGACCCTCACAGCTCCTCGCTCACTCCCAAAGTGCATTCTCCACCACACCCAGAAATCTTGCTGGCCTAGGCTCAGGCGCCGTATGTTTCAAGCCCCTTTCTCCCCCCCCAACAACCCATGTATTGTGTTGCAGACGACACAGAGCACAACATTGCTGGGGCCCTGGGGCTGGTTCTGTGGCAGGAAGTATGTGCGTGCAGCATGTAGTTGTGTGTGTAGCCCTGCTGCCGGCCACAGACATCACACATGGTCCTGACAGCCCTGTCCCCCGGGTGGTAAAATCCCACACCAGCAGAGACGTCCCAATACCTGGCCTACTGCCCTTTGCCCTGTTCGCCTCTGAGGACCCCGTTTTGCTGCTGGATGTGTACAGTGCATCCATGGAAGACATGTGAGCCACGAGCGTCAGCCCCAGCAATGCTCTGGCCAGGACAGGCTGGAGCTTCACAACCCAAGGAGAAGGCCTCAGGGAGCTCAGTGCACAAACAGCAGCCAAAGTAGGGACCCCGTGAGCCCGCCACCCAGCATAGGCAGCCCCTAGCCATTTCCACAACGGTAACAAAGGGCAGAGACGGGGAGAAGGGCAAGGCCTGAGCGACCCCCTAGATGTGACACCTTGATAACGCGGAGCCCTTTGCATGACCACGCGCATGAAGAGGGAGGGGCCCCCATGCTTGTCCCTCTGAGACGTGTGTGGCTCGCTGCGCTGACCTATGATCAGAGCGAACCCAAGGACCAGCGCACAAGATCGAACTAGCCCAAATTAAACCTCTCCCCACCCCACCACCGTTTTCCCTTTAGCCGGATCTCAGAAAGGCCCCGGGGTCACGCCGACCACATACAGGAAATCAGGACCCAGGGGAAGCCCGGTGGAGAGAAGAAACAAACTTAACTATCTTCCCTGATGGTGACTCAAGTGTCCTTCCTCTGCTGATTGCACAAAAACACAGAAATGCGAGTGGGGCGTGCAGGGGGAGGCCCCTTCCCGGGCTGGGGAGTGAGCCTTGTGTTCGAGGAGCCCTCGCTCACTGCGGGTCTGCGGCTGACAGAGAGGATGAGGACCCGCCTGATTCTCCAGGCCTGTGCTTGAAACCCCCCTCCGGAGGGAGGGCGTGTGGAGATGTGGGCCTGGAAGGGGCTTCTCCCATCTGGCTTCCAACCCTGAGAAGTCACAAGTACCTGCCACTGTGACCTTTGCCCCCTGTACCTGGGCATTGGGGGGAGGCTAGATCTGGCCCCAGGTGGTAAAATCCCACACCAGCAGAGATGTCCCAACGCCTGGCCTACTGCCCTTTGCCCTGTCCTTCTATGCCAAAAGTTCCAGAGAAGTCAGCCCCTGGAGAGCCAGGAGCTGTGATAAGAACATATATAAATGAACAGAGCGAACCCCTGGCAACCTCTCTACCCTTCAGGCGTGCTGGTTCTTCCCTCTAAGACACCCTTCCTGAGCCCCCTGCTTGCCTTTCCAGCTGACCTGTGCAGACCCACAAATCCCTCAGGCCTAGCTCTAAGGCCATCCCCTCCAGGAAGGTAATACGGTACAGAGAAATGGGAACCAGGCAAAACTTTTTATGAAGGCCCTTCATTAAAAAAGGGGGGGGGGCTGGGAAAGTGGCCCAGGAACTTGCCCTGACTCTGAGCCCAGGTCCAGTTCACCCTCCCATCCATCAACCTACCCAAGAGATAAGGATGTAACTTAGTGACAGAGAAAGTACTTTGTACGTGTGAGGCCTGAGTTTGATTCCTGGCCCTGCAAACACACACACACAACCAGAAATATAACCTAGTCGTAGAGCAAATGTTTAGTCGGAGGCCCTGAGAGCACCCGAATCCCCACCCCAGAGAAATGCACACAGACATATGCACAACAGTGTCTGTGAGTTCAGAACTTGGGGGGGTCACCATAGACGGGCTGTCTGCCATCAGGGCTGAGTTGGAGAGTCCCGTAGGTTTGAGTTCGAATCTTGACTCTGCCACTCAGGTGTGACTCAGCCGAAGGATTCCACTTAGCATCTCAGTTTTTTCGCCTGGAAAGTGAGGTTGATTATGGCTGTCTCTTGCCCCCCCCAAAGTTGTGAGGACCAAATAAAGGCAGTACATCCCTCCCTCCCCCATCAGCACCCCGACCAGACCGGCATTGGTAGGTTCTTTTCCTGCCCCTGGAAGACGAATGAGCAGGTAGCACGGGGCTGGCCGGGGTTGAGGGAGGACAGGGCGGAGGCAGCACGGAGGGGACAGGACTCCTCTGCCCTGCCCTCGCTGCAGCCCTGCTGGTCCCTAATCTCTCCTCCACTGTCAGCCGGGCTCCGTCAGCCCCGTCTTATCTCTCCCACCAGCCAGCGTGGGACCAGCTTTTCTCAACCAGATTTACATTTTTATTGATTTTTCTCTCTCCCTTCTGAGCAGTCCCTTCCTTCAGCTTTCCCTTTTGCTACAAAATGGAATTACCCCAGGGAGGCAGCACGTCTGGGTCTGGCCCAGAAGTGATGCTGCCGGGATGGATTCATTTGCCATTCATTCATTCCCTCATTCATTCCCTCCACCACCCACCCAGCCACCCGGCGCTGTGTGGGCACTCCGGGCGCCTGTGCTGCTGAGACAGAGAGACACAGGAAGTCCCCAGATGAGCCGGCGGCCAGCCAGCGGTGCAGTCACAGAAGCCAGAGCAGCCACAGAGGAAAGAGGAAGCCGTGGGTTTCCCCAAGGGCACTGGGAAAGGATTCCCAGAGGAGGCAGAACCGGGCTGACCGGTGGAGCAGCAGTCCCGGGTGGACGTGGGGATGGACACGAGAAAGGACAGCAGGGGAAGGCCCAGGGGAGCAAGGTGTGTCCCCAGGCTGGAAAGCACAGTGGGCGCAGGGGGTCAGGAGAGAGAGGGGAACTCCAGCTGAAGGCCATGGCCGGGAGCAAGCCTCGAGTTCCAGTTCTGGATGTCTTCCGGAGGGCGCGGAGAAGCCCTTGAAACATTGATTGATGGATGATTCCATTGACCGGTTATTTTGAGCCGGGCACGACTTGACACGGTTTGGGTTTTCGGAAAGCTGCTGGCTGTGCCGTGGTCTCTCTGAGCAGGGGAGGAGAGCCGGGGGGCCCCCTGAGCTGTGGGGAGGCCCGGAACCAGGTCAGCGGAGCCGCCCTGGAAGTGGGGACATCTAAGCTGAGTCCTGAAAGATGAGGAGGGCCATGCCAGGTGGAGAAGGTGGGAGCAGTGTCAGAGGGCAAGCAGCGGCACAGATAAGGCTCGGCCGGCAGAACGCGCCTGGTAGGCTTAGGAAATTTCCACCAAGTTCAGCAGGGCTGCTGGATGGCCCGAGAGCCACAGGGAGGTGGGGGCTGGAGAAGTGGGCTGGGGCCTCCCGTGTCCCTCCCTCTGCTCTGACTCCTGAGCCGTGCCTAGGCAGGAGAAGTCAGGGAGCACTTGGATAGAGGAACTGTGTGAGCCCTGGATGAGGGACTCTCCAAACCAGCCTTCCGTGATCACAGCCCTGCGCCTTTAACAAAAACCCCTTCACCGCTCCTCCTGGCTTCCTGGAAAGGAATGCAGGGGCCATTATTATCCCCGAGAGTGGAGAGAGAAAACGGGGCCTATGAGAGGACAGGAAACCAGTCCAAGGCCGCTCAAGAGGAAAGCGCCCTCTTCTAAAAATGCCCGATGCATTTTCTAATAAACCTACTTGTTCCTGACTCACAAATACATAAAATAGAGTCAAATTCAAAAAACACCAAAAAAAATCGGATATGGGCTAGAGTGACAGCAAAGCAGGGAGGACATTTGCCTTGCACATGTATGGTCGACCTGAGTTCCAGCCCCGTCTCCCATATGGTCCCCCAAACACTGCCAGGAGTAATTCCTGAGTGCAGAGCCAGGAGTAACCCCTAAGCATGATCCCCCCCAAAAATAGCCAAAAAAAATAAAAGGATATGTCTCAGTGATAAAGCACCAACATATATCTTGTATGTATGAGGCTCTAGGTTTGATCACTGGCACCAAGAAAGAAAAAAAAAATGTAGATACTAATTTGGTTGGAATTTTTTTTAAGTGTTTTGTTTCTTTCTTTTTGGTGCACATCCAACAATGCTCAGGGGTTATTCCTGGCTCTGAGCTCAGGAATTATTCATGATGGGGTTCAGGGGACCATATCGAGTGCCGGGCACTGAACCTGGTTTGCTGTGTATAAGGCAAACAGCCTACTTGCTAAAAAAAATGAATTTTAAAGGAAACAACACATCAGAGAGAGCCTTCCTCCTCTGGCCCTTATGACTCAGCCATCTCTGGAGAGCTGAAGATAGGGCGTTCCGACTGAGAGAGACAGTGGCACTCATTCTACTTCTGA